TGTACCACATCACCCGTATGCTTGTGGGTGCACAACAATAAACAAAACAGGACCCACTAATAAAAATCTTTGCTGTATTTACTGGTACAGGGAACCTTCAACCAAAAGTTCTAACCATGACCATATAGTAAAGGTGTTTTCACTTATTACACCTGATTAGTCAACATGCGAGTCGTCAGTGTGACGATTTGCTGTGGCGACCCCTAAACGGGAAAAGCTGAAAGTGATTTCCTTTACACCTGATCAGACATGCGTATACTGTAAGTCTGTGCTCGACTCCTCTGTTGCTCCTGCTGTGGTGTGACTGTTGCACTTTTTGCTGTAGCACTGAGTTTGTGAGATGTTCCAGGTTCCAGCTTGGCCCAACCTGCTGTGCCGTTTGCTACACAGGTTGCCTGTAGTATTTCATAACTAAACACACTTCCCCCCATTTAACTGCTTCTGTCCGTTTCTTCCAGTGTTCACCCAGTGAACACATTTTGGCAGGTGTGGAGCCATCCCTGTTCTCCAGGGCTTTGGTGTGAATGTTACCTACACAACATTTTATGTCAGTGTAAACAGGCTGACCCCTGAAGCTGCAGGGTGAGGCTTTAACCTTGGAGATGGCCTGACAGAACCTGTTGCCACTGTGACACTTTGGCGCTGTTTAGTCAACATGGCCTGTGCTATTCTCTCTGTTTTCACATCAACACATTTTGTTTCCTGTACAGTACAGCGTGAAGAAACTGGTTTACATTTCTTCTCTGTGCAGGTGTTTAAAGGAGCAGGTTATGCTGCCGCTCACTACTTCTGTAAGTGTTCAGAGAGGTGTTGTTTGCTGCTACTCTAAGACTTGAGTGCTTCTGATGCTGGGGTGCTTCTATCTGATAAATCTGTCATTTTGCTGTTGGGCCTTTGCTTATCTGGCATCTGAATGAGACATAATTTGCTTACCCCAAAACTTTACATAAAGACCAAGACAGAATTAAGGGTGTTGTATCTTTTTGTAATTTGAGTTCATACATAAACATATGTATAACAGTTGTTAGTTTCAATGTTCAGGGTCATAAAACACTTAATTATGTACAACAAAGAACATTTCTTTGCTGGTTTTGTAACGAATAATCAACCGAAGTGTATATTAATGACTTTTTAAAATTAGGATTTGGTTGTTGTTCGGACATCCTGGTGGCCCTGGATGTAACAAACCATGAACCACAGTGTTCCTGGTTCAAGTCTGGGTCATTTCCTGTCATCTAATAATAAATACTGACATGCCTAAAAATACACTTAAAGATTTTCTTTCTCTGTTGCTACTTACTTTGGGATGTTTTGGGGAAAGGAATAAGTCAAGGTGAACATTTTTCATATGAAGAAACAGGTTTTCTTCGATGGCCTTCAAAGTCATCTGCGCTTCTGGGAGCATTAGCTGCTATACCTGTCAAACCTTCTGTCTTTGCTTGACACAGTCACAGATGTACCACTCAAATTCGTGAGTAGGTTTTGAAACAACAGGTGCTCAAACTCAGACAAAGAGAGACAAAAACAGGCTATTGAATTTGTCACTGAGATGATGATGATAACCTGCAGAGCTTATCAACTGTAGCCAGGTATGATCTGCTCAGGCCCAAGTTACATTGTGGAAATGAATTATTACAAAGTTTACTTTAGGAATCCTCCAGTTTGTTTCAGTAGGAGAAACTGAGCAGGTCACACTCAGGGTCAAAAATAAAGGCCTAGTATTTGACTCCGTTTTTACTTTTTTGCAGGGCTTCTTTTTTTTTTTTAAACTGAGCTACATCAAAGTGTTTTACGGGGAACCTGCGTGACACCGAGGGATACCACCTCTGAAGCAGCATTTGGACACTTGACTCATCCCATTCATCACCTGTAAGTCTATCTTTGGGTGAGATAGCCAACCTGTCTTTGATCAGGGCAATCGCAGGGTTGCCACTGCCTTCGGTTTCAGGGGGGGCAGGGGGGCGGGTTATTCCATACTGTACAATACAAATCACATATGTCACATATTAGCCAGTGTATGGCCTCACTGTGCAGGAACAGAACAGATGGCTGTAAACTTTAGGAATAGCTGTAAAATGTCATTTTAGTCTTCAGGTCACTGACTGTGAGGGATTTTGAAGGTTTTCAAAATAACAGGATGTTAAACGGGGGATTAACTTTCACGTTCTTAGTTAAGATGTTTGTAGTTTTTGTCTTCTTTACTTACAGCATAAATTAAATAAGATAGTTGAGGACAGACATCAGCTTCATCACCAATGTGATTTGAAAAGAGATAAAATAAATGCATTTATATACAGTACACATATATGTAATTGGTGTTGTGTTGTTTTCAGGCACAACTCTACATGCTTTAGGGTTTCTTTCAGCCTGTGGTAATTCTTCAGCCTTCTTTAGGTGTTGTGCAAATTAGTAGCTTGTAAATAAATATATGCATCTTCAAAAATGCACATGATGAAGTATTTAGGTGTCAAACACTATCAGGTTTTGTTCACACTTAGTAAAAGTTGACTTTAAGAGTTGTATCTTGACTGCCTTCTTATAAAAACATCTACTAAATAGTTGATGTCATCAAATCCTTTACTTAAGTAAAAGGGCCAGAACCACAGTGTAACAATACTCTCTTAAAAGTAAAAATTATGTAAAAGTCCTGGTTTCAACATGTTACTAAAGTAAACGTCTTAGGTAGGTAGATTATTATTGATGCACTGACATAAGCAGCATGCAGTTGCAGTCATGTACAGTATTTCTCTGTAGTTTAACTTACTTACTTAAGTACCCGAAGTTGAGTAGATGTATCTGTTTGCATTCCAGCAGGCGTTTTTTGTCTGTATAAAATCAACTTGGGCGTTATAATTAAAATGCCATGTCATTAAGTATTTAATTTAAAAAGACTTACCGGTAAACAAAATACTTAATAAAGAGAAGAGAAGAAGAAGAAAGGCCTCCACGCTCTAATCGGTGTGCTGAATAATCACCGGAGTGCAGAATATTAACACTGAAACAGGAGCTACAGTTTCCTGGCCAGCGTTTAACAGGGGGTTTGATTTGGCCACCGATAGCATTTATACTGCAGAACTCATTAAGAGCCAGTGACGCTGAAAATGTTCTCACCTGTTGGAAAAAGGCCTTGTGACAACATTTTCCAGGGATATAGGACATGTTCCCTTTTGGTGAAAACCTATATCACCCCTGTGAAAACGACCAGCGGATGGAGAGAGATGAAAGGAGAAAACAAAGAACAAGGCATATAAGTGTTATTTGCCCCAGATATGCCAAGGCTGAACAAGCACACAGGTAAACATCAAATTTATTTGCTTGCTAAAATACCAAATAGTGTACGTTTGTTCTGAGCACGCAGTAAATGGCTCCACCTGTGAGAAATTTATCAAGAGGGTCTTTGGAAGACAGCAGGAGGTCTTTCAACATGTGCTACTCAGCTGCTCACCTTATAGTCCAGCTCTGCCTCTGCATGAGAGGAAAACCTGCACAGGTTACGGTAATGGGGAGAGAGATTTACATCCCAGCTCTGAAGAATCAAGTCACCCAGGCCATCCATCCAAGCCACAGTTTCTAAGGCCTGACTATTGCTCTGATTCAAGGGAGTATTCAGTGATGAAGCAGTATATATCTGTGATACTAATGACGCTTGTGGTTTGCATGTGGAACAAGTTCCCATACTCCCAGACGTCTCGTGTAGCGTCTCAGAAGCCTGCTGTGAGCTATAGCCCTGCTTTCACTTGTCCTCCATCACAAGTAATGTGTGTAAAGAATGAACAAAGTGGCAGAACAAACCTAGAAAGGAAAAACATCCACTTCCTCTGGGCCTGAGAGAGAAGCGTCGACAGCTGAGGTCTGCACCGTCGCTCCCAGTCCTCGTGGGAACAGGCGTTTCAGTGCTTTTACTTCTCAAGTGGAGTGTTTTGTAAAACCAGTATGGCGAGCCCCACATAGGCCACATGGTGACATGTTAAGAATACTATTAGACTTTTCAGATGACCATGTGTTAATGTGCTTAATAACTCCTTATCATTTAGACTGAATTTGAAAGCTTCTGAATCTAAAATGGCAAAAATTAAAATGGTTTGTAGAAGGCTAGTTATGAGTCTATGGTAAGGATTATTTTTATAATTGAATATACTGTACCACTGTTTATTATAATTATTAACTGAGTAATCAGTTAGCATCCTTTTACTTTTTAAAGTAAGAGTAAATAATAGGAATTAAGTTGACAAGGTCTTTTAAAATGAATAATTACTGGTTTTCTTATGCAAAAAACAAAATGTAAAATTATTACAACCTGTGTTAATTTTATTGTTTCCTGAACCACAAAAGTCAGACGTTCTGCAATGTGTAGATCCCTACACTGGCATTTACTTTCCATCTGACTTTTCAAATGATTCATGTAAAAATTAAAGGTGCACCAATCGATTGATGGAGATTGTAAGTGGCCAGTTTTCCTGTCTGTATCGGATGTGTGGTCACTGGTGCATCGGAAGTGTTTGGCGTATAAACAGTGCACAGAAACACTTTGGAGAAGGGGGAAACTACATCCAAACATCCAACAGATAGTACACATTGAGGGAATTACTGGCTACACATGAAATGCATGTATATGTACAGTGTATCCAACCCATGGTAAAACACAGCAAATACAAAGTACACACACTTTGAACTGGAATTTCCCCACTGTGGGATCAATAAAGTTCTACCTACCTAACTGCATCCTCAGTAGTAACAGACATTCTTCTGTTGTACCTGTTTATATTTCCACAAATACAAATATTGCATTTAATTTTTAGCTGGAGGTTTGAAAACAAAGAGAGGGGAAATGTAAAATTTGAATACAATGTTTTATATTTATTACATAAATTTTTCATTAAGTAAAAGTTAAAAAATGTCTGTGTATGGTGTCAGTTACAGTTCTTAGAAAGAAAATCGGCAGGGCAGACTTAAAAAAAAAATCTTAATCTGGCAAGAAAATTGCATTTGGTGCATCTCTAGTAAAACTCTTCAGTTTAAAATCTGTAGGATGCCTCACAACTCCATTCAAACTGTGTTTTGTGCAACATTAACAGGACCCATAGAGTTACAATGGTTGCATTATTGGCAAATAAAACACAATGAAATACACCTGAATGTTCCTTTAATTACTGGCAAACATCCCTTTGTACTGTCTCTTTGACAACTTGACTGTCAGCAGGTGTTTTAAAATGCCGCAGGTACACACCACTCCGATCTCTGTGGCCATCTTAAAAATAACATATTATCTTGCAAGAGCTGAATTTGTGAGCATTATAACACAAAACATTTCCCTGTAGGCAGCAGAGTGTCGAAGAGGGCAGTGGTAGTGGAGTCCTGTCCCAGTTTCACTTGATTTATCAAACAATTAGTAACAAAAAAACTTTGTAGTTTACATTTATAACAAGAATAAACTGGCCTTGTTTGAGGCCCTGTCAGCAGTTTTACTTCTCTCTGATCAGTGTGGTCTATGGGGAAAATGCATTTTGGAGGAGTTTTTGTGTTGTAGCACTGGAGTAGGCCACTGGGACAAATTAACAGGAAGACTGACTTGTTGCAGCATTTTCAGGTATCTGAATACATCCATGACAGATTAGTGTCTGTGCACTCGTCTGCTGAGTAACAGAGCAAACAACAAACGCTCATGTTTACTTGAGTGACTCCAGCTCCTGGAGCTTTTCAGTCTGCTTTCTTATCATTGTCCATCTGCAGCTGTTCCATTAGTAAATACCTTGTTTCCAAAGCTACATGCGCCTAGAAATGTTGAACAGAATTTGGCAGCATGGCTCCATTAGACTGGTCTATGAGGAGGCAGGAGCTCTAATTTCTTCATTCATAATTGCTCCTCTGTACCTACCTTTCTCTGCCGAGCTGAGCTTGACTCTGCAGTCGCATCCTGCTTCTGCTGCACATTCGCATCAGCTGCAGGAGAAGCAAATAATCAGATCTCACCACCTTTGGCAAAATCCCCAACCATGCAATGAAGATTCACCCAGCAGAACCACAAAGATTTATCTGGATTAGAAATGAGATTTAATGGTATTAATATTACAGTAGCTTGTGCTGTGCTGTGTGATTCATATGTTTTCATTAGGTGATGCAAGTGGGTTCACCCTTCAATCCGATCATCACCACTTCCATGAAGATCCACAAAGTTTGTCCAATAACTGCTTAGCAAGGTTTATCACTTCAGTTTGTTGTTATTTCTTTGTTGAGAAAACATCACTGTCTGCATAAACTCTCAGATGAAAGGGATTGTTTTGGAGTACACACGGTGCCAGTGGGCTGCAGACCTTCTTGTTCAGTGTGTAAAACACTGATCTGTTGTGACATCCTGTAACCACCAAGTGTCACAAGCTAGATCCATGAAGCTAAAATACTAAAACTGAAACCTGTCACGTAATTTGATAAAAAAAAAATTTTTATTTTGGTAAATATTGATGATTTTGTCTGAAGTTGCTTGTTCTCTTGGAAGAGGGATCCTGTGGTTTCTTCCCTTGTTTTTCTTTACCCATTAAAGAGTTTTCTTCTGATCTGATTTGAGGGTCTGAGGACAGAGGGTGCTGTGGAGATTGTAAAGGCCCTTGAGGCAAATTTGTGATATTGTACTATTTAAAGTTATGTTGTCATGTTAGTGGCCTTAACTAAATCCTCACATTATTAATATACAAATAGAGTCTGTATGTTAGACTTTCTCATTTAACAGTCCTGTGCTAGAGTGCACAGCCTATTTTCAGGGTGTATATGGTGTCTTAATTTCTTAAAAAAGATTCCTCCTTCCTTCTTTCCTTCAGCCTCTGTGCCGGCCCTCGTTTCCCTCCTCCTCTTTCCCACAGGGATATAACAGTTAA